GAATTGACTTGGTAATAAAAAACTAAGGACAGATGTGTTTACAAAAAGAACTATTAGAAGTAATAGATGACAAAATTGTGTAGTTCAAAATGTGTGTTTTTAAAGAATTACAACACCTGGCTTGGTGCTGGTGGCTCACACCTTTAATCCCAGGCACTTTGAGAGGCCAAGGTGGGAGGATTGCTTGAGACTGGGAGTTCAAGACCAGCCTATGCAACATGGTGAGACACTCAACTGTCTCTATAAAAAATAAAAAACTAGCCGGGTGTGGTGGCACCCGCCTGTAGTCTCAGCTACTTGGAGAGGCTGAAGTGGGAAGATCACTTGAGCCCAGGAGGTCGAGGCTTCTGTGACCTATGATCATGCCACTGCACTCCAGCCTGGGCAACAGAATGAGACCCTGTCTCAAAAAAGAATTCCCTACTTGTGAAATAATAATAATAATATTAAATGCTGATATAGTACCTACTATATGCTAAGCATCTAGGTGCTTTATGCATATTAATTCATTTATTCCTCAGAGTACCCACTTGGAAACTGAGGCACAGAAAAGTAACTTGCCCATGGTTACACACCACGTGGACTTGAACATGAATAGTCTGAGCCCCGAATCTGTGCTCACCCCTGTGTTGTAGTGTCTCCCATGAGGGTTTTGCACTTACCTCATAGCGTTGACGTGGGAAAAAACCAATAAAACCAACATGAAAGCACCTTGTCCAGGGTGAACATCCAGTAAATGCGAAAAGTCAAATTAAACTGTATTCCCACCAGAATCAAATAATCGTCTTAGTTGATTTACAGTCTACTCCTAGTCATCATAGACTGCTCATATGTAGTCATTCAGTTTCTGCCCCACCAGCTGGTTGTCTCTTATGTGGGAAAGTGAATTCCATTTGGAACCACAATTAATTTCTTTAATTAATCAAATTAACCAGACCTGCCGGCTTGAATCAATAGCTCATCAGTTTGCATACATTTAAAAGAGGGTTTACTTGGCAGATTAAGCATGTGCTGATTAAACGTGTGCTGTGAAGGACTCCTCAACCCATGTAAAAGAAAATCAGTACAGCCAGGCACAGTTGCTCACACCTGTAATCCCAGCACTTTGGGAGGCTGAGGTGGGTGGATCATGAGGTCAGGAGTTCGAGACCAGCCTGGCCAACATGGTGAAACCCCGTCTCTACTAAAAATACAAAAATGAGCTGGGCATGGTGGTGCGTGCCTGTAATCCCAGCTACTTGGGAGGCTGAGGCAGGAGAATCGCTTGAACCAGGGAGTCTGAGGTTGCAGTGAGCTGAGATTGTGCCATTGCACTGCAGCCTGGGCAACAAGAGCAAAACTCCGTCTCAAAATAAATAAATAAATAAATAGAAAGAAAATCAGTACAAAGCTCTGCCCCAGTAACCTACCCATCTTGTGTCTTGATTCTAATCTGATACTATACTAAGTCAAAACCCCCTTTCATGCTACTGGAAATTATTAAAGCCACAGAAGCCAGACTGGTATCATTTCTGGAAGTGATGACGTGGGCTCCCCTCCCGACATTCTTGTGGATGACATTTCCACTAAAGGTCTTCCCAGAAATGCTTTAACAGAAGATCTCACTAATTCACCAGTACCCACTTACCCCTAGGCAAGTAACTGGCTATTCCTTAATGGAAAGTACATCTTTCCACTGGAAAGATGGAAAGTTAAACTTACCCATTCCAAGCACAAGCCTTTGTTCAAGAGGCGTTGTAAAGAAATATGCCTTGTGTTTTAGGCTAGTATTATCAGAATGTTAATTTGAAAGTGAAAACCTTTCACGTGAGGAATGTGATTTTTGCAATAAGGCGTTAAGAGTGGTCTTAGGAAGATGATGCATTTCATCTTAATACAAGAGAAAAGAAGCCATGTCTGTATGTGGGAAATTCACCATCTTATTTCCTCTGGGTTTTCCACAGGCCCGTCTGCCTGTAAAATGGATGGCCCCTGAAAGCCTGTTTGAAGGGATCTACACCATTAAGAGTGATGTCTGGTCATACGGAATATTACTGTGGGAAATCTTCTCACTTGGTATGTTGGGCAGCTGCTGGCCTCCATTGACTCTGGGCTTTGCATGCTCTGCTCTCTCGGTGCCCCCCGCCCCTTCCCCCAACACTGATGGGTCTTGTATTGCAGCCCATAACTTTATGTTTATTTGCTGGTGTCCTTCAGCCTGTCTTCCTCACTGGTTTATAACCTGTTTGAGAGCATGAACCGTGACTCTTTTTCCCAGCTGCAGCCCGTGTGCCTGCAACAGTGTCTGGCACATGGCAGCTCTCAATACATGTTTGTTAATTGAATGAATCAATAAACAAATGAAGAAATGGATGAATGGCTGCAATTGTCTCGTGTTTTCCTCAGGTGTGAATCCTTACCCTGGCATTCCGGTTGATGCTAACTTCTACAAACTGATTCGAAATGGATTTAAAATGGATCAGCCATTTTATGCTACAGAAGAAATGTAAGTTCAAGTCAGACAGTAATTTGGTTGAAATCAGAAATTTACAGTCTGTCTACTTCCAAAGGCATGACCAAAAAAAGTCAAACTCATTAATGCAAAGTTTATAAGATTCTTTTTTAAAAAAATAGAAGTGAGGTCTTGCTTACCAGGCTGGTCTCAACTCCTGGCTTCAAGCAATCCTCCTGGCTCAGCCTCCCAAAGTGCTGGGATTACAGGTGTGGGCCACCACACCCAGCTGTCTGATTCCATTTTAAAGAGAAAAGAAAACGCTTCCTTTTTGTTTTGGGAGTTTCTGAACAAAGCTGAACCTTTCCTGTCCTCAGAGGCACCTGCTTCCAGGTTTTCATTCCTTTGCTTGAGGGCTCCACGAAGGTAATTTGATTCTACCCACTATATCACATTTTTAAAAATGCATTTCTGCCCATCATCTGATTTCTCCTTTCGGATATGAATTCAGAGTCTGGTAGAGGACTTGCCACGAAACAAACATGCTGTAAATAAGTAGCTCCAGAGGAATCAATGGTGCTTCATTATATGGAAAATGATCCATTTGGCTTCATTCAGACTTCTTCATCTTGTTCCTTGTTCTACTGCTTTTACAGATACATTATAATGCAATCCTGCTGGGCTTTTGACTCAAGGAAGCGGCCATCCTTCCCTCATTTGACTTCATTTTTAGGATGTCAGCTGGCGGATGCGGAAGAAGCGGTATGTAGCAGCCAGGACTTTGTAAAGCTTTATAAAGGAAACTGGTAAATTAAAACACTTGTTGCTGACTTCCTATGAACCAAAGGTACCAAGTTCTCATTCTCATCGCAGTTCTTGGTTGCCCTTGCAAAGTTGTGTGGGGTAAAACTTTATTTATTTGTTTATTTATTTATTTGTTGAGATAGGGTCTCACTCTGTGGCCCAGGCTGGAATGTGTGGTGTGATCATGGCTCACTGCAGCCTCCACCTCCCAAGCTCAAGCAATCCTCCAGCCATAGCCTTCCAAGTTGCTAGGACTGCGGGATAGCACCACCACGCCAGGCTTATGTTTTTATTTTTTGTAGAAATAGGGTATCACTGTATTGCCCAGGCTGGTCTTGAACTCCTGGGCTCAAGCAGTTCCCCCACCTCAGCCTCCCAAAGTGCTGGGATCACAGGGTACGAGCTACTGTGCCTGCCCTAAGACATATTTATTGATACGAATGTTTTTAGAAAAAAAAAAAACACCTTTCCTGATTTCAGCCAAATGATTAATACATTAAAAGCTCTTAAGTGTTCAGTGCAGTGAAGTAGACAACTAAATAAAACTAAATAAAAAGAATCCCTGGCCTCCAGAAGCCACTAGCCCTTTCTTATGAAGCATGAGTGTGCAAAAATCACATGACTCGGTCACGCTCTGTGGTAGCATGGAAAGAGCATTGGCCAGGAGTTCTGAGGGTTGAATACCAGCTCTACCACTCTGTCTCCCAATTGTGTCCATTATAGCAAATCACTTTACTTCTCTAAGCATCAGTGTTCTCACCTGTAACATGGGTTGTTAAGTTAGATTATCTTTTGAGCTTTGGGAACTTGGAATTTCTTTGCTAACGCTTCCCCCGTCAACACCACCACCTGGTGTAGTGAAAAGGGCCATCTCCAGATGAAGTAAATAAAGGAGAGAACCTTGAGCTCCCAATACTGAGGTTCACATCTTGGCTCCATCATTTACTTGATAAGTCACTTAATCTTTTGGGGAGTCTCTGTCTCAGTTTCTTTACCTGAAATATGTGATTAACAAATCTCGCCTCACGGAGTTGTAAGAAGGAGTAAATCAGGTGATGTATGTGAAAAGAGTTAGCCCATAGTGGGCACTTAGTATTTACTCAATAAAATATTAGTTAAATAGGAATCTGATTTTTAAGTGGATTGTCCGTCCTCCTTTCTAAATTGTTGAGAGCCTGTTTCAGTTCTGTGTTCTCTATACAGACCTGGGTGGATAATGTGGACTTTCCTACTGCTGTGATGTTTTTCTGAAAATTACATAGAAACTGGGTTATTTTCAGAGAATTAGGTCAAAAGGCTGGAGGAAATGGAAAGCCCCCAACGGACTTATCCTATTGCACAGATACCTGTAAACTGTTAATGACACTGTAAGGTAAACTGAAAGAAGAGTTATAGAATGAAACAGGAAATGAGCTGGTAAAGAAAGAATATATATGTACATGTATTAGCTAGCTATCTATACACTTTTTTTTGAGACAGGATCTTGCTCTGTCATCCATGCTGGAGTGCAGTGGCATGATCTCAGCTCACTGCAGCCTCCGCACTGTGGGCTCAAGCAATCCTCCCACCTCAGCCTCCCAAGTAGCTGGGACCACAGGTACACACCACCAGGCCCAGCTATTTTTTTTTTTTTTGTATTTTTGGTAGACACGGGCTCTCACTGTGTTGCCCAGGCTGTTCTCAAACTTTTGAGCTCAAGTGGTCCACCTGCCTCAGCCTCCCAAAGTGCTAGGATTATAGGCATCAGCCACCGTGCCTGGCTAAGAGAGGACTGATTGATGTTACTCGTTGCATAGTTGGGTGTGGATTTGTGGGGAACTTATTTGAGCTGGATGTGAGGCCTGAATAGCATCTTGGCTGCTGGAGAGTAGAGGGTGAGTAGGATATTCCAGGATGAATGAATAATATAAATAAAAGTCAAAAGCTGAAAAAGTAGAGTGGCAAGTAAATGGCTGTGCCTAATATACAGGGAGAATGGGGGAGTAGAGAGGAAAACAAAAATGTAAAGGTCGTGTCGCCAAGATGGAGGCTTCAGGACCACTTGGGTCTTGGTTTGAGCTTCTCCTTTCACGTCCCCATACCCACAGGATGTCCAGATCCCCTTCCCTCTGTTCAGGGGGCCTGTCAGGTATCAGGAACCATTGAATGGCAACGTATCTGTGCATGATTAATCAGCTGAGGGAATCCATGCTTAGGGACAGACAGTTCACCAACCTTTTCTCCCAATTCCTTCCACTCTGTTCCCTGACCCTCTGTGACCAGTGTCAAAAGCACCCAGAGAAAATGGTAGCTCCTTTAAGCATGTTAGATAACAGGCCCCCACGGCCCATTGCGGTGGGTCACACATGTAATCCCAGCACTTCAGGAGGCTGAGGTGGGCAGATCACTTGAGGTCATGAGTTCCAGACTAGCCTGGCCAACATGGCTAAACCCCATCTCTACTAAAAACAAAACATTAGCCAGGCGTGGTGGCGTGCGCCTGTAGTCCCAGCTACCTGGGAGGCTGAGGCAGGAGAATCTCTTGAACCTGGGAGGTGAAGGTTGCAGTGAGCTGAGATGGCACCACCGCACTCCAGCCTGAGTGACACAGTGAGACTCTGTCTCAAAAAAGAAAAAGAAAGAAAAAGAGGAAGGAAGGAAGGAAGGAAGGTAGGAAGGAAGGAAGGAAGAAAGGAAGGAAGGAAGGAAGGAAGGAGAGAGAAAGAAAGAAAAAAGAAAGAAGGAAGGGAGGGAGGGAGGAAGGAAGGAAGGAAGGAAAGAAGGAAGGAAGGAAGGAAGGGAAATGCACCCCTTCTCCGGGTGGGAGGAATCCAGAGAGAAGCCCCTTACTCAGGGCTCATGCAGCCTGCCCCAGTCTAAGCCAGTCTGAAGGAGGGGAGCTTGGAGTGGATCTCAGCCATCTTGCCCGCTCTGCTGGGCATTTTTGTTGGTGCAAGGCAGAACCCACACAGCCACGCAGGCAGCCCTGCCCACTCTGCACAATCCTATCTAGTCCCTTGGTTGGAAAACTGGCCTTGTCACCTTCCCCAGGGTGACCTTCCCTGGTACATCTGTGAATGGTTTTGTAGAATCTTCTCTCCTCCCCTCCCCTCCCCTCCCTTCTCCTCTCCTCTCCTCTTTTATTTTATTTTATTTTTTGAGACAGAGTCTCACTCTGTCACCCAGGCTGGAGTGCAGTGGCGTGATCTCAGCTCACTGCAACCTCTGCCTCCTGGGTTGAAGTGATTCTCGGGCTTCAGCCTCCCAAGTAGCTGGGACTACAGGCATGCGCCACCACGCCCAGCTGATTTTTGTGTTTTTAGCAGAGATGGGGTTTCACCATATTGTCCAGGCTAGTCTCAAACTCCTGACCTCATGATCTGCTCACCTCAGTCTTCCAAAGTGCTGAGATTACAGGTGTGAGCCACCCCACCCGGCCCTATTTTCATTTCTTTTTAGTTTAGTTTTTTTAGATAGAGTCTCACTCCGTCACCCAGGCTGGAGTGCAGTGGCGTGATCTTAGCTCACTGCAACCTCCACCTCCCGGGTTCAAGCAATTCTCGTGCCTCAGCCTCCTGAGTAGCTGGGATTACAGGCACCTACCACCACGCCTGGCTACTGTATCTGTAGTAGAGACGTGGTTTTACCATGTTGGCCAGGCTGGTCTCAAACTCCCGAGCTCAAGCGATTTGCCGGCCTCAGCCTCCCAATGTGCTGGGATTACAGGCATGAGCCACCGTGCCCGGCCAGAGTCTTTGTTTCTGCATCAAGGACTAGGGAAGGAAAAGGGCCCTCAGAGAACCAGGAGAAAGAATGGGAAATACATGGAGAAAACATAGGTTAAGGCTTTTATGTCTAACCTCAGCACCAACGGGGTTAGATCAGGGAGATCACTGATAACATGATTACATGCCTAGGCATTTAGACAGTGGTGAACCGATGAAGATTTTTAGGATGGACGAACATGTCTCAATCTTTAAGAACCAGATAAAATATTCTGTGCTCTGCAAAGCCTCCCCCAATTTCCCTAGTCAGATCTCAGGCTCCTTCTTCTGAATTCCCATGACACGTTCAGCTATAACTCCATGTGAGACTCAAATCCTAGTGTAGGATGACTTTATTTTATGGGTCTCTCTCTGTCATCACTAGACTTCATTAGTGAGGGTAAGTACTATTTCCTGTTCATCTTTACACCCCATGGGGTAGCGCTTGCCCTGTGAGATTAAATAAATGAGTGAAGTCAGCATGAAAGCAAGTTGGAGACCACATCTGTTTGGTTCATCATTATAGACCCTGCTGCTAGCATGATGCTTAGCATGTAGAAGGCGCTCAGCAAACGTTTCTGGAATGAGAAAGAAAAAGAGAGCGTGAAAGGAAGTTTGGAAAAGCGAGGCAGAAGATGAGATGTCAGGACTTCAGTTGAGAGGGGCGGCAGCAGCCGGGACGGGCACGCTGAGGGAGCGCACTAGGCAGGGGCCATGGGCTGATGAAAGGGGGCACGTGCTTGTCCCCTGTTTCAGAAAAGGGGTCTGAACTAACATCACCTCCCCTCTCCTACTTGGCCCCATAAATTATAGGAAATATGGGGTTTTTTTGGTTTGTTTTTTGTTTTTTTTTTAAAGAGAAGGGAGGCCAAGCATGGTGGCTGACACTTATAATCCCAGCACTTTGGGAGGCTGAGGCACAAGCATAGATTGAGCTCAGGAGTTCAAGGCCAGTCTGGGCAACATGGTAAAACCCTGTCTCTACAAAAGAATTTAAAAATTAGCCAGGCGTGGTGGTGCCTGCCTGTGGTCCCAGCTGCTAGGGAGGCTGAGGTGGGAGGATCGCTTGAGTCGGAGGGGGGTGGTCACGGCTGCAGTGAGCCATGATCATGCCACTGTTCTCTAACCTGGGTGACAGAGCAAGACTCTGTCTCAACAAAACTAAACTAAACTTAAATAAAGTTGAGGCCATAATTGGCTTTGAAAGTAAGAAAG